GAGGTGCTGCAGAAGGGGGTGGCCTACGACAGCAGCGCTGACTGGTTCTCGCTTGGCTGCATGCTCTTCAAGCTGCTCCGGGGGTGAGTGTGGGCTCAGCTGGGCACAGCTGGACACAGCTGGGCACAGCTGGGCACTGCTGAGCCCCCTCTCCCTCCACGCCACAGGCACAGCCCGTTCCGGCAGCACAAGACGAAGGACAAGCACGAGATTGATCGGATGACCCTCACCATGGTGGGTGGGGGCACTGGGGGGCTGTGGGCAGGATGTGGGAGGCACACAGGGGGTCAGGGATGGCCAGTGTTTGCCTGGAGCACGTGTCTGTGCCCAGCTGTGTGTCACTGTGTGTCCCTGTCCCCACTGAGCTGTGATCTCATGGAATCTCCCACAGGCCGTGGAGCTGCCAGACTCCTTCTCCCCAGAGCTGCGCTCCCTGCTCGAGGGGCTGCTGCAGCGGGATGTCAACCGGCGCCTGGGCTGCATGGGCCGAGGGTGAGTGGCCCCCAGGCCCCCAGGGCGTGGGACAAGGTGTGCTGGCATGGCCCCCAGGGCATGGGACAAGGTGTGCTGGCATGGCCCCCAGGGCATGGGACAAGGTGTGCTGGCAGTGTCCCTGCGGCCACACTCACCCGTCCTCCTCCTTCCGCAGGGCGCAGGAGGTGAAGGAAGAGCCCTTCTTCAAGGGCCTGGACTGGCAGATGGTGTTCCTGCAGAAGGTGAGGGGGCTGTGCCCATGGCTGGGGACAGGGACAAGGACACAGATGTGGGCAGCCATCCCTCTGACCCCCACTGCTGCCCGCAGTACCCACCGCCCCTCGTCCCACCCCGCGGCGAGGTGAACGCGGCCGACGCCTTCGACATCGGCTCCTTTGACGAGGAGGACACCAAGGGCATCAAGGTACCAGGCACAGGGGCCAAGTGTGGGGGTGTGGGGTGTCCCACTGCCCCTCACCCAGGCATGACCCCAGCATCCCACCCTGCCCAGCTGCTGGAGAGCGACCAGGAGCTGTACCGCAACTTCCCGCTCACCATCTCGGAGCGCTGGCAGCAGGAGGTCACTGAGACCGTCTTCGACGCCGTCAACGCCGACACCGACAAGCTGGAGGCCCGCAAGAAGGCCAAGAACAAGCAGCTGGGCCACGAGGAGGGTGAGTGGGGCTGGGAATGCCCGCCCTGAGCCACCCCTGGGCACATCCCAGTGCTGATCCCGCCTGCCTGTGATCCCAGAGTACGCCATGGGCAAGGACTGCATCATGCACGGCTACATGGCCAAGNCGGTCCCTGCTTGGCACTTCCCCAAGCCTGGCACCGGGGTGGCAGCAGGGCTGGGCAGGCCCAGGGGATGTCCCTGTATCCCTTGGCCGGGCCCGGGGGGCTGTCACCTCTCATGCTGTGGCTCTGTCCCTGCAGGCTACCTGCTTTTCCGGGATTTTGCCTTCAACCAGGCCGAGGAGGCCAAGCCCCTGATGGAATTTTATGAGGAGGTGAGACAGGGGGACCCAGGGACAGCCCCCTGTGTGCACCAGCACTGGGGTTGGTACCTCCTTGGACACGGTGCCAAGAGCACCACCCGAGGTGACAGTGCCCAGGGAGCTGGGAGACACTATCCAAAGGGATGGGATAACCCCTCCCATGGGACCTGGCACCCAGAGGGGCCACAATTCCCAGTGCTCCGTGTGCCCCCGTGCCACTGGAGCTGTGCCCTCTCCAGATCAAGAAGTACGAGAAGCTGGACTCGGAGGAGGAGCGAGCCACCCGCAGCCGCCACATCTTCGACCATTACATCATGAAGGAGCTGCTGGCCTGCTCCCATGTGAGTGCCCTGGGCACCAGGGTGGCAGGGGTGTCCCCACTGTGCCCACAGTGTCCTCAGGGGCAGCCCCACAGCCCCCACTGGCTCCATCCTGGGAGCCACATCCCAGCCCCACGGATGGGGGTTCCTCTGTGGCCTGGTGCAGCCCTGCCTGGCCGCTGTCCCTTCTGCCCAAGGTGACACGGTCCTCTCCCCTCACAGCCCTTCTCCAAGAGCGCCACAGAGCACGTCCAGAGCCACCTGAGCAAGAAGCAGGTGCCCCCAGACCTCTTCCAGGTGGGCATCACCTGCCACAGGGAAGGGGTCCTTGCCACCTGTAACACTCGGAGGGTTAATCCTTAGAGGGGACTGGCGGTGACAGGAGCCCCTGAAATGGGAGGGGGGTGTCCCAGGAGGAATGGGGACCCCAAGGGATGGTGAGAGGGTCCCCCGAATGATGGGAGTAAGGGGGAATTGCTTGTAGTCCCCATGGGGCTGGAGGTAGCAGGGTGTCCTCAGAGGGAGGTGACTGCAACCCTGGATGTCACCCTAGGGGTCCCCAGGGCTGGTGATGTTGGGGTTCCAGAGACTGAGGTGGCAGAAGCATCCCCAGGGGCCTGGAAGTGGCAGTGGGGGAATGTGAAATCCCAGGGGTGGAGGAGACCCCACCTAATGATGGGATCAGGGTGATCTGGGTGGCCCTGGGGACCCAGCACTGAGCCCTGTGTCCTCCCCAGCCCTACATTGAGGAGATCTGCCAGAACCTGCGTGGGGGCATCTTCCAGAAATTCATTGAGAGGTGAGCTGGGAGGAAATTCCCGCGCAGACTGGGGTGTCCCATCCCACTGTGTCGCAGCCCACACTGGGGACTCGGGGGTCTCTTCCTTTCCCAAGTGTCCTGGGGGGTGCTCCCTGTCTCCAGACAAATCCAGGGAGTCTTTGAGGGCCGTGTTTCTCCGGGATCTCCACTCTTGCCGTCTCTGCTCTTCCTTGCAGTGACAAGTTCACGCGGTTCTGCCAGTGGAAGAATGTGGAGCTGAACATCCATGTGAGCAGGAGCCCGTGCCCCTCACCTCCCAGGGAGTGGGATGTGCTTCCAGGGAGCCCCTGTGTCTCTCACCTGGGAACACTGGGGCAGGGCTCGGTGTCCAGGCTCACGCCAGTCTCCTCCTCAGCTCACCATGAACGACTTCAGCGTTCACCGAATCATCGGCCGCGGCGGCTTCGGGGAGGTCTACGGCTGCCGGAAAGCGGACACGGGCAAAATGTAACGGGACTGCCCTGGCACCCAGGGGCTCTCCTGGGGTTTGGGGTGCTGGGGGGCCCAGTGGCGTTGCTGTGGTGACACGTGTTGGGGGCCTGTGTCACCATGGAAAGTGGGTGCTGGCCCTGCTGTGGGGACACGGTGGCCACAGGGACTCTGTGTCTCCCCCAGGTACGCCATGAAGTGCTTGGACAAGAAACGCATCAAGATGAAGCAGGGCGAGACGCTGGCCCTCAACGAGCGCATCATGCTGTCCCTCGTCAGCACTGGGGTGAGGGGACATGGGTGCTGGGCTGGGGACGGGGTGGCAGGGGACAGGGACAGGGAGGGTGACCCCATGTCTCCCACCAGGACTGCCCGTTCATCGTGTGCATGTCCTATGCCTTCCACACGCCCGACAAGCTCAGCTTCATCCTCGACCTCATGAACGGTGAGATGCTGGCCCTGAGCCACTCCTGGGGCACAGAGCCCCCTGCCACAGCTCCTCCGGGTGACAGCCAGTCCCTGTCCCCACAGGAGGGGACCTGCACTATCACCTGTCCCAGCACGGCGTCTTCTCGGAGGCGGAGATGAGGTTCTATGCGGCCGAGATCATCCTGGGCCTGGAGCACATGCACAGCCGCTTCGTGGTGTACCGTGACCTCAAGGTGACCGTCCCCACTGGCAGGACATCCCCAGGACATCCCATTGGAACCCCCTGCACTGCCCTGTGGGCACCCACAGTGTCACAAACCCTGCCCTCAGAATGCTGTGGCAGTGCCCAGAGGGCACCCTCAGCTCTAATGGACACCCCAACAGCAAAATCCATGGGTGCCCTGAGACTTTGGGAGCACTCAGACACCCCCAAATCCCACAGAGCCCCCCAGGCTCACCATCCCATGCCCACGGGCCACTCTGGGGCTCAGCGTGTCCCCCGGTGTCCCCACAGCCAGCAAACATCCTCCTGGACGAGTTCGGCCACGTCCGCATCTCCGACCTGGGCCTGGCCTGCGACTTCTCCAAGAAGAAGCCCCACGCCAGCGTGTGAGTGTGCCCACACCCCTG